TGGTTCCAATGTCGAAATGTTCCGAGCCTCCGGCGTGTGGGTTTTGCAACGCTTGAGTCGTATACTGTCCCGATCTTCCGGAGACGTGAGATACTCGAGTTCCATTTCCTCCCAGAAGGCCTTACGTGATGTTTTGCGACGGACTCATACCAGAAATTGATTTCGAACTCACTCGCCAGAAATCCGTAGAGCCGGCGTGTCTGATCCGTCGTTCGACCAGCCGATCGATAGATCGCTCGATTGCGGGAGACGCACGGGGCAGCAAGTTGTAGACAGAAGTCTGCGGTATCAACACCGCTTCGCTGCCGCCGGAGGGCGATCCGAGCTGATAGAGATTTATTCATAGGCATCGTACCGGGGCCAGCCGACTCGCCGCGCCAAATCACCGAGAGACGTGGGCGTCTTTGATCTTTCTCAACGGTGCAGCCGTTGTCTGCTCGCCTATCAGTGAGGGCGGCCCCAATCCCTCCCAACCGTCTCGCTCATTCCCATGCCAAACAGCAGCGAACACGTTCGACGAGTAGATAACTACGCTCGCGCGCTTTGGGGAAGATGCGCCGGAGCGCACTCGGAAATAGATCTCGGCTATCGGGGCGCATGATCGCGACCGAAAACGCGAGATCTGTCGTTGACACCTGCGGAAAAGTCCCGAGCGTTTACAAGATGGCGCTCGGGTCGACAGCGGGTGTTCGCTCTAGAGGAATAGACGCGCCTGGTGACGCATGCTTGTTCGAATGTGCTTCGTTGGTCGATGTTTCGGTGGAAGTACGTGCTTTTCGTTCCGTTTTCCTGGTCGACACCTCCCACTGGTGGAAGACGGTTCGGAGTCCTCGTCGTATGGCATCTCTGTCACGTTGGCACAATAAGATTCCCCTCTCGAGCTCAACGGTCTCGTTCAAATGAAGATTGTGCAATTTTTTCCGCGCCTCGGCTCGATGAAACGAGAAGAGTGACGTCTGATACGGCCTGACCGGGATCAAGCGGTAGGGAGGAGACGTCCAACCCCGTAGAGAATCCCGTTTCGCTGACCCGTATACGCTCCGTAGTTCAGAGCGGGCTCTCGCCGGGGATATTCCATCAGTTCGCTCCTGCGAACGGTCAGCTCGAACAAGTCTCTCCGATCCTTCACGCGGTGCAGTCGCGAGCCGGCACTAGGTATCAGTCAACACCAACGAGTGTCGACAAGATGGATTTCGGAAATCGATCACCTCCGTTCGTGTCGCCGACTCGCTTCCTCGGCCACTCCTCCAGCACAGCTTCGACAGCAAGTATACCCGTTTGTCGCAGACCTTGCAGAAAGCGAGGCGAAAAACGTGCGTGGTCAATTGGCTCCGGTTGCATGCTCTCGGGGAACGAGACACTTGGAACAGGTGCGAGATCAATGGCGACTTCGTACAAGGATCCTTCGCCGAGAGTCTATCCGCGTTCCCAATGAGTAGGACGCGTGTGCAGATCAGGTATCGCCCAGCGCTCCTCACATGAACGGGGTTTGGGACCTTCTGCCCTATGGATACTTGGATAGATCAAACGATTGGATGGAGATACGCTATGCCGGCTGCCAAAATAGTCCGGAAAAGCGCCAGCCGTGCTCGCGGGAAATATGGACGCAATTGCTCAAAGTCCTATGCAATCGATTCGAGGGCAGCTGTGTCAAGCTAATTGGAATTTTCCATTGCGAAAGCGACTGAAACTATACACGATCTCACGATCCGATGCTCTGAAGGCGGCTACGAGACGAGGGTAGCCGTCCTGGAGCAAAGTCACGCGAACCGATATTCGCAGCCCCTTCCATGCGGCGCTGCAGCGTTCTCAGTATCCATACGTAATTATCTTGGTTCAGAGTTCGGAATTCAAAGCTCCTCGGGAACAAAGAGCACCAAGCGGGGTCGTGGAAAGCGACTTGCCATTTGAGGTGCCCCATCGCCCAGGCTAGAGGCTGTACATCCCAGACATTTAGACTCCGAGCTCATGAATCGCTATTCCTGTCGGATGTCGAAGTCACTCTCCCTACCTTAACGCATCAACAAGGAATTCCCATGATACTGGATACTCCCTTTGAAGAGCATGGAAGGGGAGCTGGATGTTCGAGTGTAACTCGAAAATCCCTGCTTCAAAGCGTTCATAATCTGAAGTCGGGGGAATCGGTGCTCACTTACTCTGTATGCTCCGAGTTTTGTGCGTCTCACGGAGAATACGCTTGCAGAAATGAGATTTCGAACTCGGGAGCTGATCCTAGCCTACATCGTAGAAATTCCTCCCTCGAGTGCCGAATTCGGGCCTGCCCCGAGACGAATATTCGAACGACACTGAGAAAATTTGAATCCTCCAATACCAGTGGTCGCAGCGCACGTCGCCTTCACTATCCGGAATGAAAAGATACTGCGGAGGCATTGCGAAAGCTTCTTGTGCTGCTGAAACCTTAAATACAGTCATAGAATAATCATCTGGGGTGACGGAGATCTCCGAAACTCTTTTCTGCTGTTTGCCGGGGGAATCTACGGCCTCCGGAAAGGAAATCCGTTGGAATCGAAACGCCAACGATGAACGTTCGGAAAAACCCTTAAGGGAGGGAGAGATGAGAGACCTTGATGATGCGATCACCTGAGGGGACTCTCGGATGGCTCACAATACCGGGAATCCCATACACACGAAGCGGGTCCGGGAGGGTTTTCTCGGAGTCCAGTTCTCGTGTTTGGGGATGTAGCGGAATTGACACTCATCCGACGAGCGAAGCTTCTAAAGGTGTGGATCCATAATCGCGACGCCGCGCCTTTGCTGTTTTCAGTCTCTGGACGAGAATACGCGGCTTACTATCGTGTTGAGCTTTCTGCGGAAACTTATCAAGCGGGGAGAGCAGGCTCTGCAGCCTCGGGTTCGGCTGGCGTCCGCTTCTAATGATACTCGAATCCAGATGCCCTAGGCCACTGCGGTACAATGTCAAAAGCGGACGGAGGGAACTCTTTTGCAAACATTGTCCAAGGCGAAACTTTCCGACCATTCGCTTCTCTCCAATGTTGACACTTTCGACCATTCCGATGAATGGACGCCTCGCCAAGCCGGCTCGAGATACCGTCTGTGTGATGACCCTTCTGGACGGTGTGATCTTCCGGAGTCTTCTCCATTAGGGTGAACCCTTCCTCGACGAGTAAGACTATCAACGTTCACGAATGCCGTATCTCTGATTCTCGAAGGATCTTGGTCGCTCTTCCAATCCGGCTCGGATTGAGTCTCCGCTCGGAGATTACCGATGGGACCCATGCAGACACATCTCTACCGTGGATCAGAATTTTGAGGGAAAAGTAAACAAGGTCTCAACAGGTTGCATTGAACCCAACCTGTAGAGTCACAGGCCGAGCGGTCCACGTGGATTGGTTCGAAACGCTCCACACTCCTCTTTTGATACGAGTCCCGTAGCAACTCCGATTGACGAGCTTATCATACGGAATCCGTGACCTTGCCATGCCCCCGAGATGTTGTATGGGGATCGACGTGGCACGCGAGGCCCTCGTCGATGCTGCTCGACAAGAATGACCTATACGGGTCGAGTTCGCGTCCTTTTGAAACGCAATTCCAGACCCGATTTTCTCGCTCTATTGATCTGAACGAGGCTCTCAGCAAATCCCGCAGAACGAATCCAATTCGCGAGCGGCTCGCACTACAGCCATGGGCGAGCGGATCCCTCCGGGGCGTAGATAAAATTTCTGAACATCCGCGCTTCCGTATCCCCGGTGCGAGACCTATCAGGATCTGTCTGTCGAGACCTTCGGATTCACCGGCGTCGGAGAAAACAGCCGACTGAGTGCTAGTCGTATTAGAGGGTTCGCACCTCGGCACCCCTCGCCAACGATTCCAGACCTGCGTGCAGCGAAGTCGAGGATCGGATTGCGGGGAGGGAGGCGAGTCCGAGGAGGTATTAAATACGGCCAGCGACGACGACACCAGACTTATATGAGCCAGACTCGGGAACATAAGTGTCGTCTGAACAAGCGAGAAACCGAGACGTTCATCTACTCCGAACGACCGACGGAGATTGAGTTTGCAATGGGCGTATTCTGATCTTCCATTCGAGGAGAGAATCCGTCTACAGTCCGCGGTTTCCATGGCGAATCGTTCGGAACTTAATAGTCGGCGGTCGACGCCAACAAGCACATGTTCCACTCTCTCGCACTCTGTTCGCAGTTACTTCGACGTGGCCCCGCAGTCGCAGCTCTGGCCGACCGACGCCATTGTGCCTTTTCTCCGCCTGCAGGTGGAACCTGTAGAACCTTCAGAGTAATGCCGACAATTCTGATCTGATTTCGAGGAATCCGAAAATCGAGTCGAGCCCCCACCCCTGCCGGATCTGGCTGTGTTGCGATGCAATTACAAGAGCTAAGCACAGACGTCCGAGGTACGCTCGACGTGACTCGGTCGCTCGGGAGAGACCATCTGCCGACGCCACAACGACCAGGTGGACCGCGTAAGTCGGCCGAGCCGCGACCGCGGAACCAACTGTCAATTATCGTAGGATCGGTGCGCTTCTCGGGGAGATAAACACCGAGACTGTAGACCACGGTGAAGAGGCGTTTCGAGCAGATGCATTGCTTCCCACATCGCAATTTCTGACATTCCGCATCACCTCTCCGGGCTCTCGCTCTCGTTCGTTCCCGCAATATGTATTGTTGCAATCACACACGCGTTCACTCGAACAGACCCCGGCTGTTACGCTCCATCAATGCTTCTCGCTCGCAATGTCTTCAGCTCCGGTCGACGGCCGATTCGGAAAGAAATCGTACCGGGCCCGGAGCTCAAACTTTGTGAGTCGATTCTTATGAGAGAGCTTTTGTTACTGTCGGATCACATTGCTCTCCGGAGGCTTCGAGATTCCCAATATGGCTCAATCGACAGAGCTCCATGATGACTCGTGGATGAATCCGGAAGGTCGGATGTGCCGGTCATTGATTTCCGCTAATGGAATGATCTTTTTTCCAGGTGTGTCGGATCCCGGACAAGCCGAAATAAATCCAGTGTTCGTTGAGATAGTTGTTCCTTGGTTATTCGGGCTGATAGCCGTCGTGGGCCTCGTTGGCAACGCTCTCGTCGTTCTGGTCGTGGCGTGCAACCCCCAGATGAGATCAACGACCAACATCCTCATCATCAACCTAGCAATCGCAGACTTGCTATTCATTGTTTTTTGCGTACCTTTCACAGCGACAGACTACGGGATCGGTAAGTTTCAAAGCCCTAAGGCTGCGAGTTCCACGTGGTTGGGTTCAGCAAATCTGGGAAGTTGAATTAAAAACAAATAGATTGATCCGTTTGACCATTCCTGCCTCCAAGAGTTTCGTCCACAGAGACTTAAATGAATTAGAATAGATTAGACTGCGGTTTTTCCTCGATCAACGAGTTTCGTGATCGGAACGTTGCGTATGAAATCGTTAAAGAACTCACTGAAAACCTTATGAGCGTCATGCGGAGGCCGCTGACCAATTCGATTATTTCGGGGGACTCTCGAAATATCTCCTCATTTCACGTCGTTTTGCTTGTTCCGAAGTCATCTTCTGGCTTTATGCGTATACTGAAGTGTCATACCTGCTCTGTTCTCCCGGCTGGGTTCTACTAGGATTAGGAAGCACTGTCCCTACGATTCCTTACCTCAGCATAGAACTCTCCGGGCAACGCTGTCGGTAGCGTCCTATGCCCCAAGACGCTCTACGCGACCCCGCGCGCAAGGCAGAACCCGATGTGTTTATCAGGATCTTCATTTCTCTTCCGGACTCATGAATACCAGGCATCGTAATCTCTTCAGTCTGCCTCGCCATAGATAGCAAGGATACTCCATCCGACAAAATACAGTCGTGCGACCTGCGTATTCTCCGTCGGAGACTTGACCCGGGGAAGTCTGTCTTCTCTGATCCCACACTCGCTGCGGTAGAGATTGAAGAATATTCTTTCTCTACAGTTCAAAGAAATATGTACAATGCGAGCCGCCTACAATGCGGAGGAGACAATTAGTGGAGCGGGGATCGCAAAAGCGATCGTCAATATCTCATGAAGAGAACAGGCGACAGGGAAATACACGAATACAGTTAAAAGTCTGCAGCGGTCAAGAGGAACACAGAAGGGTGGTTTGGGAGCGGATTCATCCCCGCGGACTACGAACAAAGGCCGCTCGCCGGATCGATTCGGGGTTTCGCATAGGTATGTACGGAGCGCAGGGCTTTCCGCGCCCTCTTGTAATAGAATCCGAACAGTTACTGTCGAGGAGAGAATGTTTTCAAACGATTCAAGCAAATCCCCAGGGCTATCTCGTTCTCCCGATGAAGGAAGAACATTGGACCCCTTGTCCTGACAGATCTTGTCCAAGGCAAATGTTCTCGCGATCCGTCCCCTCTCCCGGGATCGAGTTGACCGGTTCTCCTCGGCAGTTGTGTTTTGAACAGAGCGTGCACCTCGCAGTTCGGATATTATTTTCAGTAAAAATGAATCGTAGGTGGGAAGTGGGGTGACTCTGATTCTACGGTTTCGAGAGGAAAACGCCTAGGCCCTCCGGGTTTCTCGCATTGACAGGCTTCCCCCAGAGACAAGCTGCACGCAGAGTTTTGGTCCCCGCGATGACAATAGTATGATCCAAACCCGAAAATGAGTCCTACCACGGGATCGAAATACACTTGAAATCTGTCGCGCTGGACGCGTTCGCTCGTAGCCATATCTTCCTTCGACTGCCCAAGCGCGTTCCTCTGGCGAGTCCTGCTAGCGATCAGAGTGGCGGCGAATCTCTTATATTACCTACATATACCCGGATCCGGATTGAACTCGGACAAGTGGGGTATAAAATACCTGGTGCCTCTTCTGACGACTCGAGATAGGACAGGGTCCTTTCCTTGGAGACACAGTTGTTCCCCGCCGATGAAGGAGCCGACGATTGATGAGACCGAGGTCATTCCGTAGAGGCCTCTCTGAGGTCAAGTCATAGTCTCTTTTTCCGATTGGAGTCTCCCTACCTGTTCTCGGCTCATTCCGCTGCTTCCTGCCCGAAAAAGCTCGCTGCGAGTCACCGGGTGCGGAATTATGAGAATCGGGGATACTGTCATCGCAAGTCAGACGCTCGGAGAGCGTTCGAGCTCTACGACCGCCTTCCCGAAGTGGAGATCACCAACTGTCTATGGGCGTTTCATGGTCCGATTAGAAGAGGTCACAATCTTCTCAAGGCTTTGATGCCTCACGAGAGCTATGTTGTAGCAAATTAGGAGCGATTCAGCAGACCCGAGCGCACTCCGCTCGGACGTGAATGATCGCACTCGCTCATGTACGCCATTGATGTGAATTCCCGGAATTCGCAGCTACACAAAGCGTTGATACACACCTCCCGTGGCGGTTGAAGAATCTGGCGGGCACCTTATCTGAGATGGTACTGAGCCATCCATGTACATAATCATATCCGCCTGGTCTCTGTGATTGCTGTTTCCGGGAACCTCGGACAGCATGGATACTGATTTAACCTGCTGGTCTTGGAGTGAACGACGAGTTGTCGTGTCAGGGCTATGCCTGACCACAAGCTCGCAAACTTGATCATATTGAAATTCGGCAGCCTCGAAACCCTCGAAAGACCGCGGCTCCTCGATCCAACTAAGAAAGCGGAGGGCGACACTCTCGACATCCAAAGAACGTAAACAGCATCCCTTGAGTGCGTCGCACAGCGGTCCTGCTCCTGCTCGGATGCGCTTCTCAGTGCCGGATGAAAGGCTTCAGAGCTTTTCATAATTTCTCTCGTCGCTGCGGAGTTCTGCGGAATTCGAGCGCTCGACCTGGGGGTGGAGGAGTTCGGGCCGGCAGGAACACGATACGCGATCTTCCTTACGACCTGGCAATGAAGACTCTTATGCGGAGATGATCTGACGAAGAATTTTTTATTCCAGGTTTCTGGCCTTTCGGAGATGTCTGGTGTCGAACCGTACAATACTTCATCAACGTCTGCGCTTACGCGAGCATATACACGTTGGTGCTGATGTCAATTGACCGATACTTAGCGGTGGTGCACCCAATCACTTCAATGCAGTTGAGGGTAGAACGCAATTCACTCATCGCGTGTGCCGCTTTATGGGTCATCATCCTCATCATATGCCTTCCGGTCGCCTTCATTCACGGTAAGACGGCTTCTTCAATTTTTTTCAAATTACTTCCTCTCAGCCCTGTCCCCACACAATCCTATGCACACAAGTGCTGGACGTCGACCATTCAACTTGACCTCGTACGATAATTCACGTATTTACAGCCAATGTGTCGTCTCCATCTGACGGGTTCGATATTTCGAGGCGAGGATTTCGCTTCGCTAGCCAATTCTCGGGGACTGGGAGGGATTCTCTGTTTTCCGAGAACAGACGATGTCTCACTGTTGTATCATAATCCATTTGACACGAATGATCGAGCGAATAAATCCGGAGACTCGCATTGAAATTCCGATGCGCCCGGCGTCATTGATGCTTCCACGGATACCCTGCTTGGGTATGCGGGGGAATTGTGAAGAAAAGAGTGTTTGCCTTGAGGAAACACGGGGGGAAAAGTTTGCTAAGCACTGCTTTTGTTGCCTCGCGGCGGCGCTTCCGACCGGCAATCCCTCTTGACGACAATTCCTGAGAGACGATATTTCGATCAAAAGAGTTTCGACGATTCTACAGACTTGCCGAGCCGACTTCGTGCTCGTTTCCTCTATAGGAATCGTCAAACGTGTTGTCTCTTGACGAAAGATACCATCGGATGAACCATCCGATGTTCGTTGACCCAAGCCGAAAACGAATAGAGGAAAGGGGAGCCCGCCTCATGGAGTCGGTTGACGGTTGGCCTCATGCAAGAGGACCGCTTCGGATTGAGAGATCGTTATTGCATGTTTGGTGGGACTCGCAACATCGAATTTCGCTGACCACGGTCCTAAAATATACGGGCAGGTCATCCTAGGGAGTCATTGCCATTCCAGCATCCTAGAGAACTATCAAACGAGATCCGCGCGGTAGTTTATTTCGGCTATCGCTATCATAACGGTGTCCGGAAGGGAAGCGTCGTCAGGAGCTCAAAACCGGTCCAAGGGCCCAGCGTGACGCTGGGCAAGCACTCCATCGCGACAGACTCTGGGGACGATAACTTTTTTTTTGCCGGAGTGTTGTAGTCCCTCAGCATAGTAATGGGAAGGATGGAAAATCAAGACTTGATAACTTGTATTTTGTCCCGTAGGTACTAACGAGGTACGGAACCCGTCCGAGGTCTATTGTACCTTCGACATGGATAATTACGATCACAACCTCTATCAGGTGAGTCACGCTCGCTTCCTTCACATAGACAACAACTCATGATCGAAGTCCACCTGAGATTTGCCATGCGTTCAACAGACTTTCTTCACAGGTCGTTTTCTCGCTCACATCGTTCTTCGCTCCACTGACGGTCATTTTCGTTCTGTACGTTCTAATGCTCAATCGATTGTGGCTGCGGGCGCGAAGCTCCGCTGAGAGTGTGCGAAGTCGTCGTCGTGTCACAAGACTGGTGGTGGTCGTCGTTGTGACATTCGCTGTGTGCTGGGCTCCGATTCAGGTGAGCAGAAAGCTAAGAATCTTTATTCCTCGGGAAAATTTCATATCCTTCGGCGTGGGGGATATTTGCGCTCCCAGCAGAACTCCCATGTCGTTAATTCTCGAGCGGATCTCAGCCGGCACTGACCAGACGCGAGCGCGAGATGTCTCGCTGGATAAATCGAGAATACCCTCACGGAAGCTCCACGCAAGGGCAGCCTCATACTACGCAAGCGGGCTTGCTCATGGGAACGAATTCATCTTCTCGGACTCCGGAAAGCTCACGACCGGCCGACCGGAGAGGCGGCTTCAGTCGAGATTCTATTACACGGAATGAGTGCACTGCTCGGACAGAATCCCTTGATCTAGTAGCGTCTGAGGAGCAATGCTATTTTTTATCAGTCTCTTTCCCGCATGGTCGCCGTGCTCGTGAGTGACTTCATTACCTGTAGAAGAATCGATGCGTGATGGACCTGTAGGGAGGTTCATTCTATCTCCTCGATTGGATGAGATCCCCCGTCCGTTCATTGTGATTGGGGTCTCCCTCCAGTTCCCGAATGCGTGAGCATCGGTACAGGCCGTCTACATGGTCTTCATGGGCACTCGGCGCGTCCGGCGCCGTTGGAGAGAAGCGCAGACTTCTCGACGTTGAGTCACTCCTCAACACGCTCGGTGGCTCCATACCGGGCTTTGCGCTGCTTGCACGAGGTCTGGCCTCTCCACCGGGATCTCCCCTTGGGATCGACCCCAGTGGCGAGGAATGATGCAATGCTCGTCCCCATCCAGCTGAATGCATCGGGCGACGGGATCTGAATCCACCGGGGCACATGGATTCCGGCTACGCCCTGAACGTCGATGAGGAGCGAGACTAGTCTCGGCGAGTGGAATTCTTGTATGATTATCGAGGCTCATGAACGAAAGGATCAACGAGACACGTGTCGCCCAGCGTAGAACAAAGCTACCTAGCTATGAACGGTTATCTCCGGGCAAACTTCCGAGGAAGAAGAATGCTCAAGAGGAGAGGCTAAATTCCGAGGACGAATGAGATCTTCTCAAATGCCATCAGCTCTGATTGATTCCCTATCCTGTCGGGGAAGCGGTAAAATAATAACCTTCCTCATCCTTATTGCTCCTTTTTTTCAGGTCATCCTCTTCCTAAAAAGCATGCAGATGATCAACGTGGCGTCTAATATGATCCTGCTGATCCTTCAAATCTGCTCGCAGATACTGGCCTATACTAATTCTTGTCTGAACCCGATCCTCTACGCATTCCTTTCCGAGAACTTCCGCAAGGCATTCAGGTGAGTTGTAGTGAGCCGCATTTGTACGACCGTGACTCACTCAGTGATTGATCAGAATCGAGAGAGTTCGAAGTAATGACGGATTGTGTAGATGAGTTGCCCTTCAAATTTCTGAAACAGATTCTTATGCAGCTGGTGATTGATGAAAACATGTTGTGGCCGCAGGCGTTGAATGAGTGTATCCATGGAACCAACGCGTTCTTTTCCTAATAGGCACATCTTTACAGAAAGCTGATTCTTTGCGGGGCGCGGGAGGCGCCTATCGGACCACAGCACCATGGAAACCAGCACTGTGTGAATCCTCGCGGCTCCATGGTCACCACAACGAACGGTCACAAGAATGGGACGACCACATTAGCCACTCACAGTCAGATAATTAGTGATATCTTGTGATCGCCGACTTCAGAGGTCAGACTTCAGACCTCTCGCACACGAATAGCTCCAAAAGGAGAAATTGTAACTGTTGTTTGCCATGAGGCCGGTGGTGAGCAGGTTTAGACGTCCGAGCATAGGAGATATAAAGCCTCCCGGGCTCTAGAATTCGCAGCATCCTCTCGGACTCTGCTGGTATCGCGAGCCTGAGCCCTGTCTCGACAATGATCATCGGGCGATGATCGGATTAGGGACTTGGGAACATCATGACTTCGATGTGAAATAATAATCAATATTATCGAGTACAATCAATCGTGGGATGATCAGTTGATCAGGCATCTACGAACCATAGGTGCAACATCATCAGCAGCCGATTTCGGTAGGGCGAGACTCCCTTCTTTGGAGAGGGGATCGGTGACTAGATGTATGTAAGCCTACACAGAGAATGTAAATATCGTGTTCGTATTACTATTCTTCTTCCCGGTTGGGGTTGTACCGGAATTGCCCCTCATAGGGGGACACGATCCACGAATGTTTGTGTGGGCGTGTGTTTGAAAGCCTGTTGAAAAGCCGTTCAATTTGTGGAACCAATGGTCTCTATCGGTCTTTGTCGAGGGGTCTTTGTACATACATGTATTTACATCTGGATTAGCCCGTGTCAACTTCGGAAAGAGACCCCGAGACATCGTCCGTATCGACTGACGCTGCAGGAAGAGTCTCCTGAGCCGTGATTCCTCTTTGGCTGAGCTCGATGCTCCGCGACACGGCTTAGCTCACAGGCCAGAGATTATCCCCGGGCAACTCAAGAAGAAGAAAAATATGGTTTCCCGCTGGATCAGTAGCATCCGGAATCACGAAACGTGAAGATTCGACGCGGGACTCTCCTTCTCGACTCTTGTCTACTTATGTGTTGCCGACGTAATTCCTTACCCACACATGTTATGGCGACTGGGATTCCATCGCAGGAGCTCGGACGCCAGCCAATTCATGCTGTATCATCGATTGGACAGGAAATTCTGCGTGGCCCGCGTCGAACGCCGTGAACTCGCACGGCTTTCCATGGTGATTCTCATGCGGAGTGCATGGGTGCTGCGAAAGACCAATAGTTCCCGGGACCTCGCCGTTCACGACTGCCAGCTCTGATCATTGAACATCAGACGGTGTCTCGATGGGGGCGACTTTCTGACAGTCATCCCCTGTTATTTCGCAAATCCGATTTATATGTATATATATAAATGATTAGCCAGAACTTGAATATGAACGGTGTTCTGTGGATCGCTCTGCCAGTGATTCGACCCCGATCGGTCGCGACTTTGGATTCGGTCACGATCGGGACGTTCCGCGACCGATAAAGAGAGTTTTCTCCGAGCGTGAGAAGGCAATGATACCTTCACATACGGATGATCTACGACTCATCTACGACACGTATCGTCAAGTGCCAATGGGCAGGGAAGGATTCACAGCCCAAAACGAGACGTTATACAATGCTGTAAAAAGTCTTCATGGAGATCACCTATATATGTTGTGGAAACTCGATGAGAGATTCCAGCCGAAGCTACTGGAAAACCTTGAATTGTTCACTGAGTAAATATGCCATAATTATGAAGCCATGACTATTTGACGAATCTCCAGATTTGCCTAAGTGAGCCCATGATGGGGAGATTCATTCTGAACAAGCAATTTGCGAATGAAAATCTCGTCAGAGGATTCCCCGTGTATTGTATGTAAAACGAGCTCCAAACGGAACTTTCGGGGAAGAGGTCAAACACGAGCCGTCTTCCCGGGAAGCCCATGTGATCCGCCGGAGATACTCAGTTCGTTTAGATTGCATTAAGCACTCTTTGAAATAATCACTGACTAGTTCCACGAACCCGCCTCGAAATTCTGCTTTTCCCCCCTGCTTCCAAGGGTCCTGATCAGGTTTCGACACAAAACCGTTCGTGGATATCATGGGTTCTTTCCCGTTCTGTAAATGATGGAATGACGATTTGATGCTAAATATTTGTTATTTGTATTTGTACATACGAGGAGTCCCAAGTTTGTCCCCAAGACTTGCCAATAAACTTGTCGTTACCTTCCGCATCTGTCCTCAATGCCGGTGACAGCCGATGACAAGGATGATTCACGGAGTACAGAGGCAGGCTTTAAGACCCGGCTTCTTAGCTGAAACATATTGAATCCCAGCCGACGTCGCCGCCACTTATTGGGGCTCGGAGATGAGGGAAGACTTCAACCATGTACCACCGGATCACAGTCATCGGCATAACTACAGCCCCCATCTCCGACGGAGTCGATGCCCAATAGAATCCCATGAAGCGGAGCCTATGGCGCATTCTCCAGGAATCCGAAGATTATTCCGTGTCTCTCCGACGCGGTCGCCCGGAATGTCTTCAACACTGTGTACTCCGTAGAGCCCTCCGCATACATGCAAGTGGCGTGTCTGTAATTGAATACTCAGGTGCGAGTGGTTGTTCCGAGGAGCTACCTCGATAGACTTTTGGGGAATCACTGTACTCAGCACCGGACTGTCCCTCCTCTTTTGTCTGCTCTTCTGCCGCCAAAACCAGATTCGCACAGCACGCAATCCGGCCACCGCATGCGGCGTCGACGTTTTTTTTTGTGGCCGCGGCAGCACATTGATCCTATCGCTGTGCATCTGGAGTTTCCTGTCCTGAGCCTATGCAAACACTCCGGGCAATAGCACTGAAATATGAAAGTGTCAGTCTCCCCTCAGGGATCGCCATATACAGTACAGAAATCGGAACACCATGAGACCTTGAGAGTCTTCCGTAGGACCTGCCGAGCTGGGAGCGACGCGAGAGATCTCGCTGATAATAAGTCGGAACGACTTCTCCGACTACTTCAATAATAGACACAAGTGGGTCAGGAAGCGAAATGAGCTTTGCATTCCGACCTAAAGCGAAGCTCAGTAGATTCGACTTCCGGTTTCCGCCCCCCGGATTCTTCTCGTGAGGGAAATCAGCGTTGCTTTCATCATCTTTACAGTCCAGACCGCTCTCGCAACGGGTCGACAGCCCTCGAATCTGAGCAGATACGGATCGATCCGGGTCCATGATGAAGAGAAAGTTACATTTGTTGATCGGATAAGCGCCTGTGACGCCGTCAGGGGACATTCTGATCCTCGAAGGCATCACGCTGCTGCGCTTCATGCATCCTTCCGATGAAATGACTGCAGAACGACTGCATCTCTCAAGATGACTCCTCAGAGGAGGGAATGCATGTTCGTCGCGCTTTTCTACGGGCACCATTCCGATTAGCTCTGCAGGGCAGAGGTAACCCCCGAGGATTTTGTCGTCGGAAAGAAGAGCTCTCTTAATCGCCTCTATACAATTCAAAGCATTCTTGCTCAGACGCTCCGCCAGGATTTTTTTCTGAAGAGAATCAGGGCTATTGTCTTGGTGTGAACCAAGCACCGATGATGATGAGCCTCAACATAGAATCCTATGGGCCGGAAAGAGATCTTCCGATAGTCCTTCTCCCCTGGGCACGCCTCTGTTCTTGCTACCACCGTTTCCTTCTTGGAATAAAGTGCAAAGTCTAGATCGAGTGATGACACGGTCTGGCAGAAAAGCTCTCTTCCCCGCAATCGGCTCCGGAACCTGGTGTCGTTCAAGTTCCAACCTCAACCGGGAATTATTCCATCTGAGAGAATAATGCTCAGACAGAATGGACGAGGCGTCGATGAAGGAGAACCGGGGATCTCGGGAGAAGTGTAGTTTTCAGAGAGGGAAGTCGTTGTCCCTCCAGCGAGTACAGACCACACGCTCGTTCAACACAGACCTCAACTCGCACAGAGGTGTTTGGAGCTCTCAATCTCCACACCGTATGCGAGAGACAAGTACTTCGTCTTCATTCGACAATTTCCCTCCACGGAATGGAAGGCCCTCGCGAGTAAGCGATCCTCATGAGAAAGAGGCATGGGACGGGAGCCTAATACCGGCGGAGCTCCTCGTTTTTGATGTGGTTTGAGATAATAGAGGAGTGGAAGAGCAAGAATCGATGACTCAGCTCGGGTGGGGAAGGTTGGAAATGCCGGGTTTGTTATTCCATTCAAAGGAACCTGAGACGATTGCCAGGATCCAATGCTCGAGCCATAACCAATCAATCACAGGATTCCCACCTCTCAGCCGGAACAAAGTTCCAAGTTACCGCATCCGCTATGGTTTACGCAGTGAGACCTCGGTCGATCAATTGAAGCCGTCAGCCGTTCGCCGACCGAAAAGTTTGCTATCCAAAACTTTTTTCGTCGGTGGTTCCGCCGCTGCCATCCGAGTGAAGAATTCACGAGTCTGATAGAGGGCATAATGAAGCAGGCTCGAACGCTTTAGTTCCGCCTCCCGAGCAAAGATTGTTCCAGGAGGAAACGCAAAATCCGTTCCTCAGACGGAATAAGGCTCGTTATCCGAGACACATTCCCCAGGAAAAAGATCGTTGTCCGATCATGGAGATCCCACTGTTTGTGCACGCATATACTACACAAGATTTGAATACCATCCCCGACGTCGAGGGTATGCATCGTGCCGTGCGGCTAATACCTGGAAGTATCGCTCGCTAAATTATTTTCTATTCTCGAAAGCTCACGCGAGTTCAAGATTAGAATTCAATAATGGGGAGATTTATTCCGGGCCTATCGAAATCGTCCCCGTTCCGATTGAAAGGTGGAGCAGTTCGTCGTGAGTGCCTCTGACGGACCACGAGCATTTCGCAGTGGCATCGCGGAGTTGGATTTCTCTCTACCCTTTTGAGAGGGGCCGGATCTCTAGGAGCCAAGCAATCGATAAGTCCATGCTCCGCCGATGGCGGAACTCTCGAACGAGTTGTCCCAACGGAAGCTCATTAATTCGAGTTTGATGTGACACACATTTATTCATATTATTTCTGAATAGATGGGGGAAGGTCATTGAACACAATCACAGAAATGATTCTCCAAGGGCATATGTGGTTGACCAGCTTGGGACGCGCATTTTGTTTCGGATAGAACACAAAACCTCGATTTTCTC